GAGACTGCCCAAGGAGAAAGTGTAAATGAAAAGAGAATGGAACCAAGGACAGAATCCTAATATTAGGGAGCCAACTCAGGGATGTAGGAAGCATAGAAGAAGACTGAAGGAGGGGGCTTGAGGTGTGGCTCCAGAGGTAAAGCACCTGCTTTGCAAGCGTGAAGTCCTGAGTTCAAACCCTAGTCCCACCAAAAGAAAACAAAAACAAAAAAATCTGAAGGAAAGGAATAGTAAAACAGGTGTCAAATATTGCAAAAAAGGTTAAGTAAGTTAAGGATAAAAAATGAGTACCAGCTCTCAGATCACTATTAATGACTTTTGTTACAGTTTCTGTCAAAAGCAAAATTTTTAAATGGTCTTAAATGTCCCTCCCCAAAAAAACTTAAAATACACAATTTGTACTACTTTGTACCTTCATAGGCACGTGAATTTCAAAGTAGTTCATACAAGGACTCATTACAAAAATCTAAAATTAAGCCATAAACAGAAGATATTAAGAATTTATAAAAAGAAAATACAATGTATTCCAGGGATAGAGTACACATAATTTGTTCACTGTTTCAGGTACATAATGCACCTATAAAAACATTAGCACATAGAAAAATCCAATGGCTTTTCTGTATATGAATTTTTATAATAAATATTAGAGAAAATGTAGTTAACAGAAAAATAAATATACACATACATACAAGCCAATTATTTACTGAGTCTCTAACAGATATTCAAAAGGGGTGTTTATAAATCTTGCTAATCTATCCATTCAGCAGACAGTGGAATCTGACTCCCAGCTTAACTTTATCTACTCTCTAGAATGAATATACTGTGATCACCAATATTTGCAGCCTACAGAATAATCTTCCTCCAGTGAAATCCTTTAAGCAAAGAACAATGAAACCTCTGGGCCTGGCATGGTGATACACACCTATAATCCTAGCTACATGGGAAGCATAGGTAGGAAGATCACAACCAGAGCAAAAATGCCAAACCCTATTGAAAAAATAACTAAAGCAAAAAAAAGGACTGAAGCATGGCTAAGTGGAGAAGGCCTGCCTAGCAATTGCATTGCTCTGAGTTCAAACCCCAGTACCACCAATAAAAAAGAAAGAGAATAAAACTTCTGAAGTAAGAACAATTGAGCTAAGAATCAGTCAAGAATAATTCTCCAGGGAACACCTAAGCACCACACAAATCATATTAGAAAAACAGCTAACTGCAGTGGCTTTAAGAAGACCACAGTTTTTGCCACTCTTCCCATCAAGAGATGGTCTATTTCCCCTCCCACTTTTGTCTCTAAGCTAATATCAAGACTTAAGTCAACCCAAAGATTTTGGTGGAAATGTCCTGTGCAATGCCATACTTCCACTTTCTCAGGAACCAGCCACCAGGCTATAAACAAGCTTAATCTAGACACCACATGGAGAGAAAGAAACCAAGTAAAAGAGAACAGAAATGTTCCAGACTTCTAGTCAACCCCAATAGGCCCCAGACCTATGGAAGAAGCCCATAAGAACTTGGATCTGCCTTCCAATCCTGACTAACCATCAGCAAAAGATTCACCCAGCTAACCTACAGAATCCTAAGAAATAAATTATGGTTTTAAACCATGAACTTCTACATAGTTAACTACACAACAATAAATAACTAAAACATCAATGATAGCTATGTTGTCAATCTAATTTTAGCATTTCCTATAATTTTTTCCCTCAGTAATAGTAAACAACTTTCACAGACTCTGTGACTGGTTTCTGGCCAACTGGAAGAGGACAAATTATGGGCATACCACAATCCCAGAAGCATCAGCTAGGCAAGATGATTACTCCCTGGGGCAGTCCCAGTATTTGGATATACTATTGGTCCCCAATACCTGTATTATTCCTTTCTTTCAGGGTAATAGAATCGTTAACTGAACATATAGCTGTTATAATAAGGATTATATTTCCCAGGCTTCTTTGCAACTAAATTCTTGTGACTAAATTCTGGATTAAGGCACAATAGCAGAAGTATGGAGTGGCAGTTTACAGAAAGAAAAAAAAGAGACTGTCAGCCAAATCATTTGGCCCTTTGACCTGAGAATTCACAACAGCTTAGACCCTAAGAAAGGGGCCACATCCTAGGGATTGCTGAGCTATGAAATAAAAGGAGCATGGATCCCTTCAGACTTCATAAAGCAGATCCACTATGACTACTGCAGCGAATCTATAATGCAAAAGACACTCTTTTACATAAAAAAAAAAACAGAAACTTCTGTTATAGCCAATGTTACTAGGGTTTTCTGACAACCTTAACTGAATCTAATCCCATCTAATGCAGTGGTAGCAACAAGAAGAGCTGTCCTTGTACAAGTAAAAAAAATCTGGAATACCAAAATATAGTTCCTCCTAATAACCTTCAAACCTCCCTAGCACAAAATAATTCATTGGTCCAAGATAAGCTAATTCACACAGGGTCACTCAAATAAGAAAAGGCAGGATAAAACTAGAAACAAAATCTCCATACTCCTAGTGGAGCATTATTTCTACTTCCTTAAAAACAGCCTTTAAAACATGTCTTTATCACTAAACCTACAGTCATCAAAAGGGAGAAAAACTGTCCCACTCACAAATAATAATTGCCTTCCACAAATAATTACTGAATGCCTACTACGTTACTAACACCAATGGATCTAGGCATTAGAAATATACCAATAAGCAGGAACAACATAATCCCCGACTTTATGGAACTTAAATTCTAATGGGGGAAGGATGCCAAACAGCTTAGTAAATTAGATAATATGTATAAAATACTCAGGACAGAGAGATTGGCGTATAATAAGTGTTCAATAAATATCAGATTATCTATAAATATGGCTTGTTAGTTTCTTAGCCTCTTTCATACTAAAAAGCAAGCCCTTGTATTCATCCAGCTCTCTAAATATCAAGAAAGTCTTTAAATGGTTTCTGTATTACATGTTGGGTTTTTTGTTTGTTTGTTTGTTGTTTGCAAAGCTGGGCATTGAAACTAAGGCCTTCCTTACACATGCTTAGGCAAGCAGCTCTACCTCTTGAGGTAAACCCACAACCTTTTTGTGTTTTGTTTGCTCCTACCTTTGCCCAAGCTATCCGCAAACTGGTGATCCTCCTGCCTCTACCTCCTGAGTATCTGGGATTATAGATGTGCATCACCATGCACAGCAAATGTCATTTTTGACCAACAGGCCATCCTTTAGAGAACTATCTCACTCTCCCAACCTATTTGTTGAAGACTTAGCCACAGGTAGACATGTCCAATCAGACTTCCTTGCTCAGGTATTTGAATCACAGGAGAGGTAGCAGGAAATACCCAGAAGTTCAAGAGTTCTGTGGTTGAGCTCCACATCGACCCATCTCTGCCTGCACCACCCTGGCTCCTGTCCCTTCTGAGGCCTCGCTGTTCAGCTGCTCCTTCAATTCTTTGTGTTTCTTACAAAGAACCCTACATGATATGGTTGAGTAAAGAAGGTTTTTCTACAAAAAGGAGTTTTACAACCAAACATAATTGTCAAAACTCAGCAAAATGTGCCTTTAAAATAAGTGAATCTGCATGGGTAAAGTGCTGGGTTCAATCCCCAGCACATCCCCCTCCCAAAAAAACAGTGAATTTTACATTGTGAAGTATACCTCAATAAAACTGAACAGAAACATTTCATTTTAAAGCATACACAGCACATTTACACTGAATAATAACATCTTTAGATTATTTTCACATACATTAACTGTATTATACTCTGGCTAAAAAGCTTAAGAAAATACTTAAGATGGCCCCTTTTAATGTAGTCTCATTTGAAGTGAAGTTGCACTGACGGTAGCGATTCCAAAGTAAATATGTTAATATCTAAATGCTGTATCTTTTGTAATGAGGCTCACAACAAGATAATGAGCATATCTTCAAGTTTATTGACAGCATCCTACAATACTTTGCTTGAGGATTTGTTTTATACCTCCACTCTTTATTTAGTCTTACTTTGCAGGCAGACTGTATTACAGCAGGAAATCCCTTCAAATGTAAACTTCTCTAGCTCTAAGAAAGACTGAAATTAGGATAACCACACATATTCATGTTTTACATTAAAAGAATTTAAGAACTGCTGAACTTGATCATACCATGCTCCATTCGCTAAAGATTCTCCAAAGAACACACAGACAGAGTTGTCCTACTTGCCACCAATCCAGAAGCCCAAAGCACATCCCCAAATGCTACCTTCATAAATCCATACTGGCCTGAGACAGTTTATATTTTAAGGTTAGAAAAGGCATATAATAGAAGAATGAATAATGAAAAAAACCAGACAGTGAACATTTAAGTTATATGTATAAGATTTGTACAATAAACCTCTATTTTAAGTTATATGTATAAGATTTGTACAATAAACCTCTATTTCCTATCACTGTCTTATTTGCAAATATGATTCACTTCAATTTTAAAAACATTACCAAACTCAACAGTTTGCTCTCACAATTTTCAAAGCTAGATACTTTATAGATACAAAGCAACTTCCAAAATTATATTCAAAATTGTCACCTCTTTTTCCAGTAAAAATTCATCCATCTGATCTCTGATCTCCCAAGAATCTAATCAAACTTACAATGAATCTTTTAACACTATTTCCTAAAGTATCCTTCTGTATAGTCCCTGATAGCCAGCCTAGGTAGGAACCATACATGGTCATGAAATCAATAATAAACTACTTCAGTATCAGTCAAATGCAATATTATGCATCTCCCAACAGTGTTTCAAGCAAATACAGATGGTCTGGTTCACTGATATTTTAACTCTTGTTGCTTCTTCCTCTGAGTTTAGCAAAACAATATACATAACTCAAGTTTCAAAACAATATCTGTTAAGAAAGCCAGAAATCAGATATAGCTAAACTACAGCCTAGTTTGCAACATGAATATTCTAGCCCCTTTCCTTCAACTTCAATTTTAAATACCTCATGAGTTTCCCACAAAATGAAACTAAGAAAAGCTCCAACATTCACTTACCCAACATTTGGCAATCCAACAATACCAATTTTCAGTGAGGTTCCAAATCTTCCAATGATTGGAGGTGGCTTAATTCCATCACCTCCCTTTTTGGGGGGCATCTGAAATGTCAAAACAAACGTAAAAAAGATTTTAGTACCTGAGTTCAAACCCCAGTGCAGCAGGAAAAAAAAAAAAAAGTTTTTAGTATCCCTATGGGCAAAAATACATTTCATCATATAAAATATTATTGGCTAAGAGAATAAAACATACTGTATATATCAATCCAAAACTAACACAGAGCTAAGCCCACTTTATTTTTCAGTAAAAAGAAAAAAAAATTCTGAAAACAGATCTAATTCTAATGGTTGTCAAAGCAGTCACTCCTGAGAAGTCCAAGAAAGACTGATATAAAAATATGTAGCATGAGGAATCAAAGATAAACTTTGCGTTCTAATCTTAGATCCGGATTGTTCACAAAACATTTTCTTAACGTGACAAATTACTATATGAATAAAAGCATCGGGAAGCAGGTGCAAAGATGAGAATCAAAGAAAACCCATTCTAAAAACACCAGCAACCAAGTCACCTCTCACCCAACCGTGCCTCTGTTATCTGGAGTCTGTTCGTCCCCATTTCTCCACAACTCAAATTTTTCACTCAAATGAACACACACCAGTTTTGTGGGTCCTTCCACCTTTGAACTACAATCAAGCTCATCAGTCCTCAAAAGCAACCTCCAAAATATACACTGTGGTTACTTCTAATGGTAACTTAACCCACTCAATTTTTTATTTCTTTTTTGCGCTGATGGGGATGCGAGGCAAACGGTCTGCCACGGAGCTACAGCCGCCGCCTAAACCCACTCAACCTTCTGATTTGCAAGTCAAAACTTTCTGTCCCTTGCTAGTTCTGGTTCCAAGTTCCACCGCAAGGATCCCACTTTACCACTGCAAAGTGAACTCATGAGGACCGGCAACCTCGCGTGTGGGGGGCTGAGAACTACAACTGTCCCTGTCCTGTGGCAGGGTTTACCTCTGGGCCACGCTGGGGCCCAGATTAAGTGACATTCCAACCTCTGTCCGGGGACCAAGAAGCTCTCCTTTCAGGGCCTTGACACCTGCCCCGGGCCAAACCCTAGGCCTTCAAAGAACAGCTGCACAAGCAGAGCCTGTCCAGTCCTCCGGCCTACGAAGACGCGTACGGTCGCCAGGCCAAGGCGCGCCCCCTCCCAACACCTTTCCGCTCCTACCGCGGCCTGTCCGCCCCGCCTCGGCGGAAGGCTTTCCCAGGGCGAGCGGGTGTGAGGCCGGCGCCGTTCCCCGGACACGCGGCCTAGTCCAACCGACAGCGCCTCATTCATCCACATGCCCCACGCCGCCCTCGGCCCGCCCGGCCGCCTGGCCCGGGCCCGGCGCCAATCTCCGAGTGCAAGGCCCGAACGCCAAAGATCACGCGGAGAGCGCGCCCACGGGCAGCCTGAGGGCCTCACCGTGCTTGGGGCGGACGATGACACGGGGTCCCGGACAGCGGGAGACGGGTCTCGCCGGCAGCGGGAGGCGGGGAGGAAGGCGGAGAAAGCGCAGGCCCGACCCCTTCGCGGAGCTGCACGCACGACGGCGGAGACGTCGGGACGGGCGGGCCGGGCGCCCATCGGCACCTGCGCGCAGGCCGGGCGCCCCGCCCACCTCGGTTCCACCCATTGGTCCGCCGGGCCGCGGGAGGCGGGAAGGGCGGGGCGGCGCGGGAGCCTGCGGGAGCTACCCAGAGGCCTTGGACGCGCGGATCTTCCTCCCTCTCTACACGTGGGCAGCTGGCCGCACTGCCCCGCGGCCGCCTGGCTGCCGTACGATGCCTCCGCGTCCCCGGTTGCCCGCTCGCCGGCCTGCAGCCGCGGGTGCTCGGCCGCGAAGTACCCTCGGCCCTGACGGCCCAGCAGGTTCGCCTGAGGTCGGCGGACACCCTCTCCCTCCATCTCTGAAGACCGCTCCGCCAACAGCGCGGCCCCGCGGGACCGCGGCTCCATCCCGCATTCCTTTTTCTGTAACTTTCTTCAGTCAGTCCAGACGGTGAGAGGCTGTTAAACTTTTTTAAAGGAAAATGGGTCAAAAGAAGCTGAGATCTAAGGATTCCTTCTTCCCCTTCAGGCGTTCAGGGGTGTCACACTGGCCCTGGATTAAGCGCGCCTTTCGGGAGTCCCTTCCTCCCACATGCACCCTCCTCCTGTGAGTGGGTAATTGCACGGCCTTTGAAATTTGGGGGACGCAGGTTCCGATCGTGATTCCACCACTCATTAAATGTGTGACCCTGGACAAATGATCTTAGTTGGCCTCAGTTTCCTCCTGGGTAAAATGAAGCTACTGAGGTCCATCTTCCGAGGTTAGCGTGAGGATAAAATGAGACGTGTAGCCGCAGCACCCAGCACATCTAGGAACACTCGTAAATAGTAGCTATTGTTAATATTAAGAGTTTTAGCCCATCTCATCCACACCTTTTCACTGTTCCATGCGCTCCACTGGAAAAGAGATTCTTTCATTTAGGTCCTCTCCTTCAGTGGCAATCAAGTATATGTTGCAATAAATATACCTGTCCAAAAGTTGGGATTTTTTTTCAAAAATGCCACTTGTAAATAAAAGAAAAATTATTAATTGGTTGCTATCCCCAGTTTCCAAACGAGGGAACATATCAGAAAGGTTAAGGTGCTTGGATAAAGTCACAAAGGGAATGGCAGAAACCAGATTACAAACCCCATTCAAACTGAAACATCTGTTCTCTTTCAACCAGAATAATTTTGAATAGGGTATTAAAAGCAGCAAATGAGCCACTATTTATAATAAAATTGCATTAAGGTTTTTCCTTAACCCTATAATGATTTATTAAGGTAAGTATAAGAGCTCTTTTTGTAATTTTGGAAATTTTCAAGAACACAGGCAACTTGATTTTGGATTTATGTTATTTTTTCCTTAATGTCATCCATAAATAGGCACTGTTTATACTCTCAGTCGAGTACCCTTATCACCAAAACCATGCATGTGTAAAATAGGTGTCTGGTGTACACTTTATTTAGCTACACAAAAAGAGGAAAGTTAATTAGCCCACATTTTGTAGCCAGCAAATGGCCCTAACATAGTAATTCCTAAATGATTCTCCACTGTTTTAGTAGTGAAGTTCTGTAGTTAGGTTCACACTGCTGCTTATGGAAACAGGAACCATTATCTAAAAAACTCAAGAATCCCAAAGAACTCTCTGCCCAGCAACCAGCCACTTCAATACTAATTGAAAATGTTCCCAGTTATGGAGTAGTGGAATCATCTTCAACTAGCTGATGCTTCAATATCAAATCTACCCATTCCCTTAAATTCACACTATCAAGTCCTTGAGTCAATAACATGTCTCTTTTTATAACTATATCTTTCTTACCTGTACTTTTGACCACCTTCAAAGTGCCTTGAGGAAGCAGGTCACACAGAGCTCAGCCAAGCAATTTCCTGAGTAGCCAGTTGCTGCTACTGGTTGGGAGAGGGGTGTGTCAATTTGTATTGAAAGTTCTCATTGGTTTAGTTCAGGCAAAGTTCTACCAAGGTCCCAATGAGCCATGGTCAAGTAGGTAAGGGTCATAAAAGTTATACAAGAGAAGCATCCCTATGTGTCACCTCTCATAATTAAACAATCAGTTTTCAGAGAAGACTCTTGGGATTTCTGCTAACCTGCATGATGAAGACTCAGTAAAGCAAACAGGATATTAAGAGTTAAGCCTGGGGCGTTGGGGGTATGTAGGTCAGTGGTAGACTGGTTGCCTAGCATGTACAGGCCTTGGGTTTGATCCCCAACACCACCAAAAATGTAAAAAAAGAGTTAAGCCTAATAGAGTGACTTGGAATATAGGAAAGCTTGGCCTTGAGCCTTTTGCACTAAGTGAAGTTTTAGTGCCTCTTATCCTCAGTGACCTTTCTTTTGAGAAAAGATTTCACTATGTTGTCCAGGCTGGTCTCAAACTCAGCCTCAAGTGATCCTCCCACCTCAGCCTCCTGAGTAGCTGGGACTACAGTATGCACCACCACACCTATCTCCTAGTCTTAGTCTTTTAAAACAACCCTCACTTTGGAAAACACCAGGGTCTGACAAGAACCTCTTATTCTATTCTGAGGGCAGTACTCCCAGTGACTTAATTACTTTGTACTAGGCTTCGCCATCTAACAGCCACACTGAGGACCATGCTTCTGACACATGAACCCTCGGGAGAAAAATTTGAGCCAAACCATAGCAACACTTACTTAACCACTCAACCCCATCTGTACAGACATAACAAAAATAATAGCAATAACTATACTGAAGGAGAAATTTAGGCCTGATAATTTATAGAAGATTACAGCTTGCAAAAATACCCTATAGAGTTATTAAATAGCATTTCTCTCTGTTACCTTGGTCACATTTTTTTCTTTAAACTCTCTACCATATCTAGTGTCCAGGAAAATAGGTCCAATTTATATTTTTATTGTTCAGATGAATTTATATACTTGAGTACCTACTCTGTCCCAGGCTTTGCTCTAGATTTTGAAGCAGTGAATAAGATAAATATAGTATGCACATATGAATAAAAATAAATAAATAAATAAATAAAAAGATAAATATGGTCCTTGTCCTCAGGGGGCTTGTGATCTAGTGAGGTGGGCCAATAAGTAATTGCACTATATTACAACCTGGTATGAGCTGCAGAAAGGAAACCTAAGTTCTTTGACTACTATTTGAAAGTTTAAAACAAGCACCTTGGTTTCACTTAACTTTCAGGACTTCTGACATTATGTAACAAACTGACAGTGACTAATTAGCCATCATCCTCTTTCCCTGTTCCATTACCAGAAGTACTCAGACACTGTTAGGCATCAGCAAAGAAGCAGATTTTCCATTTTCATTCTTCTATTTGACAAATCATGTCTTTTTTTTGAAAATTGAAATTATTTTGAAATTTGACTGTAAGTTACCCTTGAAGTAAATAAAACATGCTTAATCAATTGCTTCTAGTATTTAAAATCTGATCTAATCAATGGCTCAGTTTAGTCAATTGCTCATAGTATTAGAAGACTGATTAGAAATTAGTAGTTTTATTACACAGTTGCTGTTGTAGTTCATGGATAAAGATTTAGGAAGTTTTTTTTTTTTTGGTTTTTGGGGGTTTTTTTGCAGTACTGGATTTTGAACTCAAAGCCTACACCTTGAGCCACTCCTCCAGTCCTTTTTTGTGATGAGTTTTTCGAGATAGGATTTCACAAACTATTTGCCTGGGCTGGCTTTAAACCTTCAAAAGGTGAACCTTCATAGTTCATTGAGAAAAAGACTGAAGAAAATTGATCATCTTCTAACAACCACTTAATGGTATTAAAATGTGAAAATGTTATTTTTACTGACCTTAACAAAATATGAAAATTGCCCATCATGGAAAGGTTGCTTACCAAAACATGTGACAAAGATCCTGTCATTTGAACTGGAAATTGGGAATCTTGTACATAGGCCCAAGTGACCAAATACATGGTGTATTATAGGATGTAATATCATGTTATTTTACTTCATGTTCACTATAGAGTTGGACCTGTGTAGTTCATGCCAAAGAATATTTGTGCCAGAGTGAGCTGGATTATAATACAATAACAGACAACTCCAAAATTTGAAGAGTTTAGCAGAATAAAAGTACTTCTCTTACATTAAGTCCACTGGAGCTGTCCACAGGTTGACTTAGCACTTTAAAAGTGCTTCATTCTCAAAACTCTTCCATATCCTTACCAAAGTGCTCCCACCCCGAATGGCTAAATTAAGTCACGGAAGCCATGGAAAGTAAAATCACAGAAGGGGGCGGGGGTTATTATACTACAATCAAGATTGCCTTCTTTGGTTTTGGTTTTGTTTTGTTTGAGACAAGTCTTGCTATGCAACCCAGGCTGGCCACAAATTCACAATTTTCTTGCCTAAGCCTCCCAGATGCTGGAATTATAGATGTGTGCCACCACCATGCCTGGCTAAAGTACCACTCTTTCTAAGATGAGTCTTAGAAATTATGACCAATGTTACTATAGTGGTGCCTACTCATACCATGACCCCTTTATTAAGTGAGATTCATCACATGAACTGTCTAGCCAATAGCTTGGACTGGGGTGGCTGACTCAAGCTGGGCAAATAAGACTCTCTTTCTCTCTAGAAGCAGGACTTAAACCCATAGCAATAAGTGCTACTGGTTGCTTATGGGAGATCATAAAATCAGGGCAGTGTCGATACTTTCTTGACAGAAATCTGTTCTAAAGAAAGGAAAATAAAAGAGGCAAAAAAAAAAAGTAAGTAATCAGCAAATATATAATCCTGGAGAAGCTAAGAGAGGAGAAAATAATCACAAGTTCTAAGGTTCCATTTCCAGAGTTAAATTCATCTAAGGCCTATATATTTTCTGACCTTGGACCTTGTGAGATAACCTTGCCTTCTACCAAGAACTTCCATTTTCTGTTTAAATTGGTTTGCAGTGAATTCCTGTTTCTTATAGCCAAACAATGTTTGCAATGCCCAAGGCAGATAAAAACTCTCCTGAAAACTGTTCATGTATTTTGGAGGCAGATTGGTCCATTGTTCCTCTTAACTGCAGTAAT